ATGTTAAATTACATTAGAAATAATGGGTTTGTTATGAGTTACATGGAGCTTTCTAACTGAAAGTCAACTAACTAACCACATAAAACTAAATGGTTTTTTTTATTTTTTTAACTGAAAGTCAACTAACCTAAAACAAAGAAAGTGGTGAAAAGAAGAAAAGATGATAACTATTTTCCTCCTAATGTTCAAAATTGAAAGACGAAAGTTATCGCATCAAGTTGAATGTTTTGCTGTAAATTAATAAAATCATCGAAAAAAATTTCCTGCTTCTCGTCTTGTTACAGGAGGGTGCCGTTAAAAATTTGATAAAACCAGATTAATACAAGATTTACGATTGGTACCATTTTCTAAGCTGACCAGAGCCTTGCCTTTCGCCATTAGATTTGCTCAAATTTTGCTGCGAGAATTTGGTTTTGTATTGCTCGATCAGCATATCAAGCTTATCCACAACATCTTGCCCTACTGGGTCTTTATTCTTTTTGGGCCTTTTTCTTCTTTCCCAGCTTCCCGTTCCTTTCTGTTCATCTGCCTTCGCTTGCTGTTTTCGCTTTCTTGGTTGCAACTTTACATCCGTCGGAAATTTTGGCTGCAATTTGCGGGCATCATTTGTTGTTTCATGTTTGACCCAAACTACACCATCCAGTTTCCTTCCATCTGGAGGATTCTTTAACCTCTGTTTTGATCCTATTACTTTGTTCTTCCACATCCCTAAGTTACTCTTTGGAGAACTCTCTCTCATCTTCTCAGTTTCCAGTTTCTGCTTCTGCTTTTTCGTAGATTTGGGTTCTTCTACTGCACCCTTATCAGAAACTCCAGGTTTTTTTCCTTTCTCTTCAGACCATTTTGCTGCTCCTTTGTCTTCTCTGGATTTTTGTTTTCTAGACTTCTTGTTTGGGGGGGCATCCTCCATAAATGATTCATCATTTTGCTCCACATCCTTTAAATCAACATGTCTATCTTGCTGCTGAACTTGTAGCTTAGCTTTCCGTATCTTCAATTTCCGAACATCATCAAGAGCAAACTCCACAATAGGACGATGTAGAGGTCCAAAAGTTTCTACAAGTATTCAAAAGTTGCTATGACATCAGAACAAAAAAGTGATTACTTAATGTATTTACACAGACATTCCTTTATGAATTATTAAAGCAATGCAAATATAGTATATGAACAATAGCTTTATTAGGGCGGCCATGCAAGCCGGGCAGTCTAGTTTTCCTGTTTCTCTTGTTTTTCTTCCAACAGATACGTAATTATGCATACATATATATGTGTATGGCATGTATGAAATTCTTTTGGGTGACTTAAGATTGTTGCCATGGCCACATTCACTAAGCCAAAGATACTACAACTTTGTGATAGAAGTCACTGTAATTTGCATAGCTGAGCTCAACAAAATTACTGTTAACTAGACATTTAGCTGCAAGTTACCAGGATTATTATTAAGAACCCTCAGGGCAACAAGTGCATGCTGATGCTCCGTGAACTCAACAAAGGCAACTCCGCGTGAGTGGTTCTTGGTGTCTATCTTTCCCTTCTTGAGACTTTTCAAGAACTTTATCTGCATGATCAACATCACAATAAGGAATACTCCACAAAATACAAGAAATTACATATAGACAATATATATACACCATCACAATAATGAACCAAAAGAAGAAAAACAACCTGTTGAACAACAGGTTTCTGCTTGGTCGCTCGCGAAGTAACAGCATCTATGCAGAGCTTTTTCAACTCCTTTTCAGTCATTGATTTTGGCAAATTGTATATAACAAGTCTAGTCCGCGAAACATGGAAATTTGGAGATTTTAGCTTGTTCATCTTCTTTTCCTGTAATCTGTAGCAGAATGTGTTAGAACAGGGACAAGTGCAAACCACCATCTCAAGTCTAAACCAGAGCTCCTGTATAAGGTTCTTATTACTTTTTTTTCCAAATGAAGCTCAAGAGGTATTTAGCCTATATTTTACACTTGTTATCTAAAAAAATGAGTTATTTAGCTTATATTTTGGAGGTACCAAACCTTGTACAAATTTATCAGCCATATTCAGCACAAACAAGGAACAGCCACCTCATAATCATGAAGAACTTAATATTTAGCTGCCACAGGTATTTCTGGCAGAATGCGAACAAGCCGGCAAGGTATATAATGCCAAAGGTGCATGAAAGTGTCCTTGAAAAATAAATATCGAACACAAGAACAAAAATAGAAAGATACAGAAGAGAAAAGATTTCAAACTCAAAGGAGATGATGAAAGACAAAGTTCAATAGGAAGAAAGAGTAAATGAAAATTAATATCTAAGTAAAGCAAAATGAATATCAGACAAACGAATAAATAGACAAGACACAGAAGATAAAAGAATTTCAAGTAGATGGAAGATAGAGGTCGCTAGGAAGAAAGAGGAAAGCAAAAATTATATCTGAATTACTGTAAATTCTGCATAGTTGGCAAATTGGAGACAAATAGGAAAGCCAATAAAAATAATAAAGCAAACTTTGCAGCTTGTATCGCACTCAATCTAAGCGCCCATTACAAGGCACCAAATATGCTAGCAACAAACAGCCAACGCTCCATTCTCAAGTTAGCATGAAGATGGCCGGAACTGACAACAAGGTCAACACAAGAGAAGAAAGGATTTAACCCATCACCGCAATGCAATTCTCATTAATATTATTCATTTACTACGAAATTTACAATTCATTTCTCTTTATAATAATTGTAGAAATATTAGAAATAACTTATATTTACTGTACCTGCTTTCTGTTTTCTTATTTTTGTTAGACAAGCAGACACCGTAATAAAATGCTAGCTATCATTTGTTAGGGAAAGTTGTTTTTTCTGCAGATATTTTCCCTTCTGTTTTGTCTATAAAATAAGGCACTAATCATTGATGTAATAAGAAGAAAAAAAGAGGTTTTCCTAGTCTCAAAATCTCCATAGTATCAGAGCATACCTAATACAAATTCTTCAGCATCCCTCTTGCATTCAATAGGCAATGGATGAATAGACTTCTTATCTGCCCAAAGTCCTTTCGGGCTCCTATCTTCTGGTGTCTGACAGTCATGCTCTCACTGATTAGGCTCCTTCTTTCGTTACTGGTCATCGACTAAATGGCAGTAACTATCTACAATGGTCGTCCTCGGTATTAATGTTCATCCGAGGGAAAGGTCGAAACGAATACCTCACTGGAGAGCTCTCACCACTTCCCGCGAATGATCCAAATGCTCGGGTATAGAAAGTAGAGAACAATCTTCTTGTTATGTCTTGGTTGGTGAACTCAATTACCACCGAGATTGGAGAAAATTTTCTCCTTTATGAGACTGCGCACGATATCTGGATCGCAGCCAGTGAGTTCTATTCTACTCGTGACAATACTTCCGCCATCTTCGAAGTCAAAGCAAGTCTTCACGACCTGCGCCAATAAGAAAATATGGTAACTCAATATTACAATTTTCTTACCCGAAAATGGCAACAGCTGGACACTTTTGAGGAACATGCTTGGAGTTATCCCGAGGATGCCAGGAGACTCCTAAGCATCATGGAACAGAAACGAATATTCAAATTCCTCTTCGGACTAAACAAATACCTCGACGAGGTAAGAGGACGCATCCTTAGAACCAAACCTCTCCTGAACATCAGAGAGGTGTTCTTTGAGGTGCAACGCAAAGAAAGCAGGAAGAAGGTGATGATGGGTGAATTGCAACTCAGCCCTAACCTTGCTGAAAGCAGTTCTCTCTCACCCGAGACTGGTGTAGCTCTCACAAGTCAGGTGACTGAGCAGAAGGGACGGCCATGGTGCGAATACTGTAAAAGACCTGGACACGTTCGTGGAAGATGCTGGAAGGTTCACGAGAAGCTAGCTGAAAAGAAGACACCAAAGCAGGAGACTCATCGGGGCAATTTTGTCTCAATTGAGGAGAAATCAGCTGCAGTCGTTCCTACCAAAAGTCCTCTATTTAGTCATGAACATATCAGCCTTATCCAGAAAATGTTTTCTTCCAATATGGTTCTCGGTAATGCTTTCACAGTTCACAAAGGTAATTTTTCTGGTCTCTCAACTTATTCTTCAAAAAAGAGAATGTGGATTATTGACTTGGGTGCTTCCGACCATATGACCGGGAATATCTCACTATTTAAGGAATACAGTAAGTGCAAGATAAATTCTCAGTTAAAATTGTTGATGGCTCCAGTTCTCAAGTCGAAGAAACAGAAATAATTGCACTGTCACCCAAGTTAATTTTGTATTATGTGCTATATGTTCTAAATTTGGATTGCAATCTCCTGTCAATAAGCAAACTATCACAAGACTTGAATTGTGTAGCTGCATTTAACTCTAAACTTTGTGAATTTCAGTACTTGGATTCGGAAAAGACGATTGGCAATGCTAGTATGGATTCGGGTCTTTATCTACTGCAAACTAACAACTCTTCTCTTAGTAGACAAACTCATCATGCAGTATGTACTAATTCTGAATCTGTAAACAATTTAAATAGGGAATGCCCTATCATGTTATAGCATTACCATTTAGGACATCCTAATTTCTTGTACTTAAAAAAATTATTTCCTACTTTGTTTCGAAATAAAAATCCAATTTCCTTTCAATGCGAAGTATGTCAACTGTCCAAACATATTCGAAATTCATTTCTCAATTCAGTTTACAAACCCACAAAACCTTTTTCATTAATTTATAGTGATATATGGGGTCTCTCTTGGTTTATAACATCATCGGGACAAAATGATTTGTATCTTTTGTTGATGATCACACTAGAATCACTTGAATCTTTCTCATGAAAAAAAAATCTGAAGTTGGCTAAATTTTTTAAAAATTTCACACTATGATGCAAAATCAATTTCACATTAAAATTCAAGTATTGAGATCAAACAATGGGTGTGAATACTTTGAAACCACTTTAAGCCAATATTTTTCTGACCACGGCATTATTCATCAAAATTCCAGTGTTAATATCCCACAACAAAATGGCATAACCAAACGAAAAAATAGACACATTCTTGAAGTAGTCTGATCAATCATGTTCATTACCCAGATTCCAAAATTTCTTTGGAGAGAGGCTATTCTCACTGCTGCATACTTGATAAACCGCATGTCCTCCCGAACTCTCACATTTCGAACACCCTATGATACGCTCTTAAAGGTCTTTCCACAATCTCATATCCTACATACCTTTCCTTACAAAGTTTTCGGTTGTTCAGCCTATGTCCATGTTCATACTCACCTCAGGGGTAAACTTGACCCAATGGTCATTAAATGTGTTTTTGTTGAATATTCACAAAGTCAAAAAAGATACAAATGTTTTTGTCCCAGGACCCATCGTTTCTACACACTATGGATGTTACTTTTTTTGAAAACCAGTCATTCTATCCCACTACTGATATTCAGGGAGACAGTATTAATCAGGAATATCAAGTATGGGATATAAGTACACCACCTCTCACCTCTCTTCCCCTCACTATTCCCGAGTCCTCATCAAATTTTCTTGAAACGAATATCAAAGAGTCTGAACCCGAACCTGCACCTACTACTATCAACAAAGAGTTACGTGTCTATACTAGGAGAAACAAAACTCCAGTTGATAAAGATTCTGAACCAACTACATATTGCCATGAGTCTATTCCAGTTCTAAGCAGTAAAGATACATCGGGTAATGAGTTTTCAGGCACAATTTCTGATACTGTTACCATTACTGACCATGATACTGAATTACCTATTGACTTGTAGAAAGGAACTCGATCTTGTACTAAACACCCTATGCAGGATTATGTTTCATTCAGCAACTTGAATAGTTCCACTAAACCTAAAACAATTCATGAAGCCCTTGCACTACCAGAGTGGAGAGGTGCTATTCAAGAAGAGATCAGGGCTCTAGAAAAGAACAAGACTTGGGAACTGACAGAACTTCCACCTGGAAAACATAAAGTGGGGTGCAAATGGGTATTCACTACAAAACACAATCCTGATTTAAGTGTGAATCGGTACAAAGCTCGTCTAGTGGCTAAAGGCTTCATTCAGTCCTACGGGATAGACTATCAGGAGACATTCGCCCCAATGGTTAAACACAACACTATCCAGATATTACTCTCTCTTGCTTCTAATCTTGATTGGCCTCTCTGTCAACTTAATGTAAAGAATGCATTTCTCAATGGTGATTTAGAAGAATAGGTATATATAGAAGTCCCTTCGGGCCTTGAGACCACATATGAAACAATTTACGAGAGTTTGGTTTAACAGATTCATCAAAGCAGTCAAACATATGTGCTATGAGCAGTGTCAGTTTGATCATACTTTGTTTGTCAAGAACAGTGCCTCTGGTAAGAAAGCGATCCTAATTGTTTATACTGATGATATTATTTTAACAAGTGATAATATAGAAGAAATTCATAAACTCAAAACTTTTCTTGCCACGGAGTTTGAGATAAAAGATCTTGAAGCACTCAGATATTTTCTGGATATGAAATTTGCTCGTTCTAAAAATGGAATATATGTGTCACAACGGAAATATGTTCTTGACCTGCTGAAAGAAACAGGGAGGCTTGAGTGTAAACCAGCAGAAACACCTATGGAAACGACTACAAAAGTTGGATTTAAAACCAATTGCTAGCCAATTTATAAAGAAAGATATCAGAAACTTGTGGTCAAACTTATTTATCTCGTTCATACTAGACCTGACATCAGTTTTTCTGTAAGTACTGCAAGTCAATTCATGAACCAACCTATTGATGATCATATGAATATAGTATATCGGATCCTAAGATACCTTAAGAAGACTCCAAGACAAAAACTATTTTTTCAGAAAACAATGAACAGGAATATTGAAATCTACACAGATGCAGATTGAGCGGGTTTTCTAGCTGACAGAAGATCTATATCTGGGTACTGTACTTATGTTTGGGGAAACTTAGTCACTTGGCGGAACAAGAAACAATCTGTTGTGTCACAAAGTAGTGCAAAAACTGAACTTCGGTCACTTGCTCATAGAATATGTGAGGGAGTTTGGTTAAAAAGAATTCTAATGGAAATCAAATTCTCGGTTACTACTCCCATAAAAGTAAGATGCGACAATCAATCAACAATTAACATAACTAAAAATCCTGTACATCATGATCGAACTAAACACGTGGAGATAGATAGGCACTTCATCGAAGAGAAGATTGAAAATCAAACCATTACAATACTCCATGTTCCTACTAATCAGCAAACTGCAAATATTTTAACAAAGGCACTTCCCAAAGGATCCTTCAACGAATTGATATCCAATCTAGCCTTACTCAACATTTACGTAACCTATATTGAGGGGGAGTATAGAAATATTAGAAATAAATTATATTTACACTGCTTTCTATTTTCTTATTTTTGTTAGACAATCAGGCACCGTAACAGAATACTAGCTGTCATTTGCTAGGGAAAGTTGTTATTTCTGCAGATATTTTCCCTTCTGTTTTGCTTATAAAATGAGGCATTAATAATTGATGTAATAAGAAGAAAAAATGAGTTTTTCCTACTCTCAAAATCTTCAATAATTATACAAGCAAACCACCCCTTCCTTTCCAGTTCAAGAAATAGGAAGACTAAACAGCCACATTGAGCATATGGCAAACTAAGACTATTTCCTTCAACAAAAAATCAAGCTTCACTTTCAAAGAAAAAAAAAAACCTAACACCACTTCAAGTTTAACACTATCCTACATTCTTTATACTATCACTTAAAATTAACAATGGCCCACCTTCAGAACTAGTAGAGGACTATGCAGCATAAGTGTACCTAAGCCCTATGCATATGCCACAGAGGAGAATTGCTTCTCAACCAGCATCACCAACTTTCTTCGGAACATCACACACCACTGACTTAAATAATAGATAAACTAAGAGAACTCACATCTTACGTTTCTCCATATCCTCTGTAGAAACGCCTTGAGCAGCTGGAGTCCCCTCAAGAATAACACCTTCCTGCATTTCAAAATAGTCTTGAAACCATATTGCAAAACTGAATTTGGCAGGAAAATTTTAGGGAGCTAAGGAAATTAACCTTCGAAAGATAGAGATTGCGATGGTCATGCTCCTCAACCTTGATCTTCTCCAATTCCTTATCATGAGCAGATTTCTTATCCAAAGCTTTCAAAACAGTAAGTTGCCTCCCTTTCAAAACTATTCCTGTGGCCAATGCAGTATTTGCAGCCGAGACAGCAGTGGCAGCTGCATCAATTGTCTTAAACTTGAGAAAACCAGTGCCCCTTGGTCGTCTGCCACAAGCAAAAAGGATATAGTATTTATGAAACTTGACCAGAAGCATTTATAGAAGCATGTCAAATTAAATATAAATTCATACTTGGTGACAGCATGAAGAACTGGAACAAAGGATTGCACTTGTCCAAATCCAGAAAACCGCTCTTTCACTTCTTCATTGGTAATATCAAATGGAAGATTGCTTATGAAAATTGTTCTCTGCAACTCATCATCGCCTTCTGTCTCTTTGAGATTTGCCTGATTTGTTTTTTTGGTGTTTCCAGCTTTAGTTGCATCCAAATCCTTATTCGACTCAGGAGATACCTTATCTTGCATGTTACTGGTTTCATCTTTATTTGACTCCTTGATCTTCTCAGAAGGAATTGAGTCTTCATTGCAGGAAGGGGCAGAACCCTTAGAAGAGGATGCCATCAAATTCTTAAGAACTTTTCTCGCAATGTTTGCTTCCTCTTCAAAATCAACTTCAGCAGCAACGCCATCTTTACCTAATGTGTCCAAGTCATCTAGAGCACCATCTTCCCCATGTGGTTGTTCAGAATTTGCATGGACATTCCCCATATCACCCTCCAAATCAACACTGCTACTATCACTTTCACTGTCGCTTTCATTCTGCTGTCCTGTAAAACCACTGTTTATATTAGCTACAAATTGAAAAATAAAAATGATGCAAACAAACAAAGAGACAAGGGCTAAAAAGATTCACAGGCCAAAAATGAGCACACTGACAAAGACAGAAAGGGATAAAACTATTATGGATGAGAATAAAAACCAAATCAATCTTTCAACTTGAAACATCAAATTACTGTGTATATCCAATTATGCTAATGTATAAAATCAGATTAATTCACGCTCACGGACACATGCATCTATATATATGAAAGGAAATAAAATCAAATTTTAGACCCTTCTTTCTCAGGCAAATAGAGGATACTATTCAACCACAGGATATTTCTTTCTATGTTAGATTTGCATCACCATAAATAGTTACATGAATTATGAAAATGGCAACACAGAAGCAGAGACTAACACCTTCACAAATTTATGCTAAGTAGAACAAAAGTAAATTCTCCTCATCAAAATTCTTTTACTGCACAAAACTAGTCAGTACAGCAGGATTTTTTGACATGTGTTTCTCACCAATGCTCTTACAGTTTCAATTCCCAATTGCGTACTACTGAAGCTCCAGCTAGTGGGATACCCACATAATCATATCTTACCATTATGAATTTCTAATTATAAACATAACATGATATTCCGTTTCTCTGTCAGCAATTTATCGAAAAGTTGATGAAAACTTCATTCAGCTTCATTCAATATGACAGATTTGGGTGTAACCTAAGAGCTAATGAGAATCCTTGAGAGGAGAAGTTCAGTAAAGGGTTTAAATTACCATCTGCTGAAACAACAGCACCAGAGCCAACACCATATAGTTTCTTAGGAACAGCCCAATCAACAGCTATGGGCCTTTTCCCAAACATTTGGCCATTGAACTTTTGAATTGCCTGAAATTTTAAAACAAGGAAAAGAACAAATAAAAAAACTGGCCTACAAAATGTTAAATTTCATTAACCAAGTAAAAAGCATGTCTTCTAGAAGGGCATACACTTTCTGCATCCTGCTTACACGTGAATTTGATAAATGCAAAACCCTTAGATAATCTGGACAAATGAAAAGTGAAGTTAGAAAGAGAATAACATAGCGAAAGTCTACCTTATTTGCATAATCGATATATTAAGTGTTTAATTATGTGACAAATAAGGACAATCCTGGATAATGAGAATTTACCCAGTTTCAGAATTATGTGGAATAAAAACATCCCAGACAAATCCTGCTGATGAAAACATCTCTTTTATCTCACTTGCTTTAGCCTGCATAAGTAGACTAGTTTAGAGAACAAACCCCACAGAATATGAAAACTGAACAAAATCTTTGGCAGTGAACAACCTTGAAAGGAAGATTTCTAATGATAAGTTTCCACTTCTGAGTCTTGGAGCCCTGGATAACAAATACAATAGCTTAAAAAAGTGTCCATGAAGGAGACCAATTATCTTTACTGAGTAGTATATTAATATAAACCAAACGTTATAAATATAACTGCCAGCTGATTTCCAATGAACAAAAACAATATAACAGTGAAAACTTCACTATTTTACCTCTCCACCCAGCTGGCGTGCCCAAACAATAGTTCCCTTTATCTCCTTTTGATGTAACGTTGCAACAGCAGCACGTGCTGCTTTAACACTTGTAAACAGCACAGCTGATGCATCTAGTTTGCATCCATCTTGTGCAAGCCCTGAAAAATATCATGCTTTTATTTAATATTCAAATTGCACAACCATTTGCCACATGTTTCAAAAAAAACTATCAATACCCCTCCCCCTCTTCCCCCTAACCACCCATTTTTTACTAGTTAAAACTTTCCTTACCATGTTGCTTGAGCTCTTCTTTTGGAAGAGGATATGTAACAGAACATACAGTACCAACTTCCCCAGCACAATGATGAACATCTTCTGCAACATCAGCATTAAGAAGTCCACCAAATACTACAGTCCTAGCAACCCTTCATTGCATTAAAATGTAAAAGAAAAATAGTGTTAGTCTTTCAACAAATGGAACAATGTAAACACAATGCAAGAATAGAAATTGTACTAGAAAACCATGCTTCTAGCACCTATAAAGACTATATGTGATTATCAACCAAAATTTGCATAAGGGGTGGAATGCTAATACTTCCAACTGTATATGCAGTATCTGCACACAGTTGCGCAAATAACAAATTCCATGGTTGCAAATCCTACTTCATGTTTGGCAAACGATCTGGTTGTATTGCCTATTTTAATATGCCCCAACTACATCGACATCATTATGTCATGAAACAAGTGAACTGAAGGTAATCAAATTAACCAAATGTTCAAACAAACTTAACCAACTAAAATCTAACCATGTGTCGCACCAATAACTGCTACGACCATTAATTTGAAAATAGACAAAGCTTATTCCAGCCATCATCGAGGAAAATAAAATTGGATTTAGAAAATGTTTTGGATTGCTTATTTGTTAATTATAAGTAGTTTAAATACTTTGTTCTGATCTAGTCACTTGGTAACATTGCAGAAAAGGTGCTAAATTTTTATTATATGCCAATAAGCAGCTTTAAGCAAGAAAAATATTAGCACTGATCCCCTAACTTTTTCAAACTTTTTTTGCATGTTTGACTAAATGCTTAGTTCTTAACATGCTTAATTACTTATTTACCCTTAAATATTTATCTTTTATTAAAACCATACAAGAAATACTTGTTTTACAATAAGTAATTTTATCCAACCACGTAAATGCTTATTTTTCTAAATTATAGGTGCTTTTAGTTACTCAGGAATATATTTGTTTCAGCAATATGAAACATCTTATTAATCCTAAAAATGTAACTCTTACAAATTAGTTCAAATTTTTCTTTTTATGGCTATAATAGACAACCAAAGTAACATAAATATTTCAAGTCAAAGTAATGAATTAGTACCTAATTCAGTCACTATAATATTTGATTGAAACATATTTGTTAAATATGGGACCTGATTATAATAAGAAAAAAAAAAGTTCACACTATTTTATAACAGGAGCGACAGTTTCTGGGTTAAATTGTTAGCTAAACCATTTCAATATTTCCTTCCTTGGGAGAATGAAATTAGTTGTAATATGCTCATGCTCATGTTTAATTGGAAAAGAAACTCAACAATTACAACGCAGCAGAAAGAAAATAACACATAGAGCATAACAATTTTACTCATTTAAACGTTCAAAAGAAATATCCGCGAGCTCATCAAGAAATTCAGTACCTCTGCTTTCCAGAGCAAGTCTCTTTATCAGCTAGATCAATGCAAACTTTTGCCGGCTTTCTGCGTTCAACAGGTTTGGCAGAATTTTTGTTTGGACTACCAACTGAAGATAAGAAAGAATGAATAAGAAATGCGAAAAAAGACCCCTGCTAATTTTATTAAGATCTGATATCCAGTTCTGTACCTTGTTCTCCTGAACCAGAGACAAATCCATCCTTCTGGTTTGTTGTCTTTGGTCTATCATCTGAATTGATGCCTAGATCCAAAGAAATATTTTGCAAATAAGGAATTTGCTCATAGATGGATGTTGTAAAAAGATTAAATAGCTAGTTCCCAAACTTGCCGTGCAAAAATGTTGGAAAACTAAAATGGATATCAACCTTGACTTGCTTTGGACCGGCGTTGCTCCAGTGGAGCACGATGCATGGCATGTTTAGCTCCAATTTTACGACCTCCCACAGATGAACCATTCTTCAGCTCAATAGCACGGTTGGCATCATCCGTAACAGCACTGTAAATAGATGTAGAATACATTATTAAGAGATAAAATAGAAGTATAGATTACCTTGCACATTGCCACTTGATGAAAAACTAGGTAATCATAAACAGCTTACTGACTGGCTATCCCTAATTACGTGGAACCAAACCTTCTGATTGAAAGCAACCACCCTTAAGACTTGTGGCTAACTAAAGTACCATTAAATTATTGTCTGAAACTATCTGTTCCAGTTTTTTACTTTTTCTATATTTCCATAAGAATGAATAACATAGACCTACCATGAAGAACATGACTGAGACCATTAGGTTAATCAAGATAACGATCACCCTTATTTTAAATAGCATGAAAACCACATATGTTTCAGGACGCCTACATCCAGATATAGAAGCTTTAGTTCCAGAAACAGTAAAAATTATGGACAAGATTGTTTTCCAAAAAGATTTAAGGAAACACAAAAACTACTGGACTAAGATGTGGATATTTTTTTTGTTCTTTCGTGAAAATTTGGATGTTTATATAACTCATTAACAGAAGCAATATAACATCAACACTCAATACTTTCAATCAGGTAAAGAATTATCAAAACCTAAAATAAATTGCATACGCATGGCATGCAAAATATCTACATGTGGGTATATGCAGGTCATGTGTGAACTTTGTATATATGTAGTAACAAAATATAAATTATAAAAAAAATCCTGTAAATTACTACGTTGACCATTAAAGATTTAGAATAAACATTTAGGCAATGAAGACTCCTTTGGGGAAAAAATCAAACTTAATAAGGGCACATCTAACTTACAACTGAACAAAAGCAATGCCACGGTGTTCTGTTGATCCTGCAAAAAGCAAAAGAGGGAAAAAAAAAACAAAAAGATTAGCTTCTCATGAAAAAATGACTAAAAAGTACTGCTAACCTGTGAAAAATGAAATTTTAGGTTAAAATAAAACAGTTACCTATAGTAACTAAGCTCATCAACCAAATGCAAAGCAACTTAATTTAAAAGATGATTAGATGGACATGATTAAAACAACAAACATTAAATAATGGAATATATAGGCTTCTTTATGGCATCTAGAGTGTAAATATTTCTTTAGCCAAATCAACAATCAGTTAAGAAGAAGGGAGCGAGAGCCTATTGAGTGAGAAATCTAATAATTAACTGGGAAAAAAAACATTCCTATATTCAAACTTTTTCTCAACCTAGTTGATCCACTTACAGAAGTCCTCTTCAATTCAAAAACACCAATGAATAGCTAGACAGATGTTATAAGTATATAAAAAACACAATCCAAGCATCCAATAAAACGAACGTGCAAGACAAACAAACTGTTAAATTACTTTTCGCACAGTTTTCTAAAGAGTGTCAGCGGTAGACATAACTGAAAACCGATCCATAACAACTGACATTAAGGACACTAAAATTTGCATTTGCTCAGAAATTAACCATGTTATCCATTAAAAAACTACTTCAGTTGAAACATTCTGTGCTTATTTCCAAAAAGAAAGCCATGGAAGCTTTAGACAGCAATTATAAGAGCATTGGCACCCTCAATTCAGGTAAACGAACAGACCTAACAAAAATGAAATTTACTTGCCTTTTTGCGTAACCATAAAACAACGCCTGATTGGACCTACATCACTGAATGTTTCTTCGAGCTGATGCATAAGTAAAAAACGGAGAGAAAAATGCACGTTACTCCATCTCGCAGCAAAACATAAACAAACAGACCCAGAACTGAAGACTCTATTAAGTTTTTTAACATAAAAAGAACTAGCACTGAGACCTCTCCGTAATTCACAACCAAAACTGAATACGAGCATCAATTAAGCTCGATGTCAGAAGCTTATTCAACTAAGCTGGAATCGACAATTACAATTCAAAAAAATAATAAAGCACGAGATCTCATAACCTCTTATTCCTTTTCCTTTAAATTTTACTTCTTCTTTCTTCACCTACCCCCTACTCCAGTTTTCCCAATAACCAAACACATGGAAGAGAAAAAGCGGGAGGAAAGTACCTGAGAGTTGGTGAAAGAATACGGGAGGTTACTGACGAACACAGTTGATGAAGAGTGCTCGGACTTCTCGCCTCCCTCAGCTCTCTTCTTCTTCCCCATCGTTGCTGCCGCGTTCGGATACCGAGAAGAAAGAAACCCAAAAACTTGTGCCGCCGAGAAGGGAATGCGCCTGAATTTGGGGTTTTAAATCCCGGGCTTTAAAGGCAGAGGCTGATAGTCAAACGACGACGTTCTGTTTTGAGACGGTCGCGGGCCTAGAAAGGCAGCAAAGCAAATGCACCGCATGCAAGCCCATTATAATTTTCTTTTTAATAATACCACGAGTACAATTTTTCCCTGTATTACTATTATAATTATTATAGTATAAAAATATTTTATTAAAATAAATTTTTTGAAAATTTTTACTTGGTAATAGTTTTTTTGGGGAAAAAAATAATAAATTAATTTTTTTTGAATAAAAATAAGAGAACATATATATTTTAAGATATTGTAAATAGTTTAAAATATAAAAATGTTTTTACACCTAAAATTTTAAAATACATATATATATAGTTAATAAATTATAATTTAAAAATATTTGTGTATTTCATGAAAAATATATTAAAAAATAAAATTTTTTATTAGCTTTTTGATTGGGTTGGAGAGACATTTATGGTGGGACACAATTGAGAGGTGCATGGCAGCTTTGCGTATTGATGCCCCCGTAGAGTAAAAGCAGTATGAAATTAGGGGTCCCCTACTCACTTCTCTTTCACAACTATTTTGGTCCAAACAAACCAATTTGATTAAGTGAGGTTTTTTTTTTTTTTTTTTTTTTTTTTTTTATAAGAAAGTCAAAATTTTAAGCACATAAAAATTTTTCGTGTACATCCAATTGGATAAAAAGTTTAAATTTTAAATTTATTTGTAGAGATCGATACGAGTACTAAGAATTATGGTGTATAAAATATTTTAATAATACGTTTTTCTATCATAAATTTTTAATAAAATGATAATTTATTTAGATTTAATAAAATTCTAAATACGTGATTGTGTTGTCTATATAATTTAACCCATTGACATGGGTATTGGCCAAATAATTTCTATAAATTCAATAATTTTGATGGTATACAAATGGTTTTCTAATATCATGTAATGATTGTAATTAAGATAATATACTTATTTGCGAGCAACAGTCATTATTTTTTTCTAAACGTGACACTTTTTTGTAGGACAAAATTTTTATATAACAACATTTATAAAGATTGATTTATAAATGTTTATTTAGAATTTTGGGTATAATTTTGTCTTTTGAATGAAATTTGACTTGAAGAAATAATCATAATTTTAATCAAGATATTCAAATTTCGTTAGCTATAAAAACTTGTTTTGATTTAAATTTAAATTTAAATTTAACTTTATATTTGTATAAATTTGATTTAAATATGTAAATGAAAGTTATTATAACTATAAATTTAGATTTCATTGATAATTTTAAATACAAATATATCTTGTATATAGAGATATAAAATTAAATATTTAAAAACAAAAAACAAAATTTAATAATTAAAAATATCTTAATTTTTATTTTAAGAACACGGGTATAATATATTCGCTTCTATTAATGTATTCATAATTAGTATTATGATCAGTATGCCAATTCAATGTCATTTTGCACTGAGAATATTTGTACTTGTATGCATTTGTTATTAAAATTGGACACCATTAATGAATGGATCGAGAGCTTATTTGAGTGAAAACTTTAGTGCTGACAAAATTTATAGGAGGTCATTTGGGTCAAAATATTACATACAAGGAGGTTATTTAGTAATTTACTATTTATTTTAATATAATTACCACAAAATAATAATAAAGTGTGATTAATATTAACTTATAATATATATATATATATAAATAATAAATTCGTGACACCTAAATATCATATTCGAGATAATTATTATTATATCTGCTTACCCATAAGAGCCTTCAGCATGCATGCTAAAAGGCAAGGGCAAGTATAACAAAAAAAATATCTATATGTATATTACTAAATTATTTATATATATATATATAAATATACAAACAAAATTATATTATTTTATTTAACTAATAATAAATGGTATCATAAATGAGTAGTGATATATAAAAGAGGGGGGTGGGGAAAAGCCATGGTCAGTGGCTTTGGCTGTTTCTGGTTTTAAGTGAAAAAGCAAAACAGACATACTGAAAGCAGCAGTCCCCAAAAACCCAGGTTAGGTTTAATGGGTTGGGGCCTAATAAATTGCATTTTGTGACATAATATTATTCTTTTCATAATAAATAAATAAATCAATCAACTCAGTTATTTAAATTTTAAAAATTCTAAAATATTTATTTTTAAAATAATTATATAATTAAATTTTATTTAATTATTTAAAATAATTATAATAGTTAATAAATGTATTTTTAAAAAAAAATAAAACTTTTAGTCTACTTTTTAGGATTAAAAAAAAATTTTATTTATTTGAAAACGGAGGGAAATATAATTTTATTATTTTTATAAAGAAATGTGAAGAGATGCAAAAAGACAAAAAGACCTTCCAGACTTAAATATGCATTTTATCGTTGGGACCCACTGATTATTAATCACGAGTGGGTCCCATCCATGTCATAAATGATGTCACCGTAGGGATCCGATCCTCTAATACAAATACACGCCACCATTGGGATTGGTATTTTCTTTTTTTTTTTTTTGCTTTTATACAAAAAATAATAATTGGGAGTCTGGTGGGACCCACATCTTATCTCTAGAAATTTCTATTTATTTGTGAATAAATTATTTTTAAATTTAGTATAAATAAAAAATTGAATTATTAATTTTACATTAACTAATTAATTAATTAATTTAAAAGCAACGGACCCAATTCTTGGCTTCCAATATCCTGCTACGCTCCCGTTTTATTTTAAAAGGGATTGTCGTTTTCCAGTAAACACGTGTTAAGTAATATATATTTTTTTGATTTAATTAATTACTAAAAATAATGTGGGACCCACTACAAACAGGAGCATTAGATCAGGTTAAAGTTGGCAAGTTTAATTTATTAAAAAGATATTTATATATAAATGAATTAGTTGTGGGGGGGGACTATTAAAATAATAATTAATTAATGTTTAATTGATACTTGCATTAAATTAATATAAAAAGTTTTGTCATTCAATGAATGGGGATTATATGCCGGCCTGCATACTTTAATTAATGATCCCGTGGGATTTTGTTAATTAGTGTAAAGTTTAAGGTAATTTATAATAATTAAATATTTATATATGTTGTAAAATCAATAATTTAAAATATCTAAAATTTTATTTTTTATTTTTATAAGTAAATATTGGACAGCTGTCTGCTGTATTTGAAAATTTTGAACATTTCAATGGTTGGTAAATAATTTATTCGTCTAATTTGTTAAATAATTGATTAATTAATCCGATTTTTTATTAATCTTTTATTTATATACTATGATATGTATTTATAAATAACATAATATATTAATAGATTTAAAAACTATTATATGCCCGCAACATACTTTTTTTCATTGTGTTTCCTGCCTTATCTTTATCTTTTTTATTTTCTTTTTCGAAATGATTATAATAAATTATCTATATGTTACAATTTTAATGTAAGAGTGAAAATAAAATAATTATTTAAGTGAATATGTTATCAAACAGTTTTAATCGTTGAATTGCATCCGTAATATGGTTTAATTTGTAATATTTTTTTTTACAATATAGTTTTTAATATTTTATATTTATTTTATGTTTAGTTTTTGTTCATATTTTAACAAACAAAAAACTGAAGTAATTATGTAGCACCCGGAAAGGAGAAGAAAAAAAAAAAAAAAAAAAAAAAAAAGAAAGGGCGGCCACGTCAGCAGCCACGTCAGCATGCCCGGTCAGCAGTCCCGGCCAACCAGGGCCTGCCACGTGGCAAGACCGCGTCACTCCAAAGGGAGCCACGTTGGCGATCCGCGTGGGTGCGATCCGACGGCCCAGATCAATCACGCGATCGGACGGCCCAGATTCAATCGCACGGACGGCCCAGATTCAATCAAAAACGAACGGCCCAGATTAAAACAAAATGAACGGCTGTGATCAAAAGGCAAGGGATTATAAATAGAACCTCCACACCAGACCACAAACCCTAGCCGCCAGCCGCTCGCCGGAGAAGACGAACCAGAGGCCGACCGCCGCCACCCGCCGCCACTCGCCGCCGCACCGGGGAAATTTCCGACCGCCGATCGAGGTAAATTTCATAACCCCGACTCGTTTCTCCCCACTGATTCCTCCTATGGCCAAATCGAAGCCGAAATCCCGGCCAAACGGCCGGAATACGCAACCGAAGCCCAGCGGCACCGCCGCGCCCCCTCTCGGTTTTTGCCTCCGACGAGGCCCTTCCCGGCCTCCGTTCGATGCAATTTTTATATCACCGTGATCACCATTCTTTTCTCTACAGGTTGACCGAAGCCAAATCACCAAAACACGAACTTCGCCGGAGAGTCGCCGTACCCGAGAGCGCCGCCGCCGGTAAGCTCCGCTTTTCCGTGATTTTTTGGCCCCCCGAGGGCCCTAGGGTTGTTTTCTGACAAGGACCAATGCGAGTGTGGCCGAATTCGGCCAAAAACGGCCAAAAACAGTCAACCCGAGGCGACTCGCCGCCGCCAGCGGCGGCGCCGTCGCCGGAGCACGGCGGAGCCGCCGTGCCGGAGTTGCGATTTGGGCCGAAAGAGGCCCTGGGCCTAATTTGGATTTTTTTTGGAACCCGTGCAGGTACTGTGAGCGTGTTTCAGTTCCCCGGGAAAAATTCAGGGAAAATTAGGGACAGCCTGCAGGCGCACTGTGAATCGTATTCGGATCCCGAAAACAGGTAAGGACCCCTCACCTTATTTCCTATCACGGTATTAAAGTTCAAAATGATAAAACGGTATTTCTTGAATTAATGCATGTGTGAAATTGCTTAAGGTAGCTAATGGAGCCCGAGTCTAGTGTGATTGGTGGTTTACTGTTATTTGGCCTGTTTACAGCTTTAAATGCAAAATGAGGTTTGATGTGTTCATTTTACAGATTTGTGTGCATGTACTACGTTTTTATTAATTATGGGTTGAATGACTGAAAAACTGATACTGTATGTTGTCTGTTTGGTATGAATTACGA